CTCGGCGTGATATATTCTCCATTATTATCATATTATTATCTGAATTATCTCGAGGTCATTGTTGGCCCGCATGAAACGATGGTTAATGAATTGTTCTCGTAATATCGTATGCTAACGCGAGCTGGAAAGTAATTGTCGCTCTTTCGGAAGAGCAATACCCCGTGAAATTACTAATTAATTAATGGGCATCGATGATGATGGTAATCGCGATAGTAACATGCTTTCTTGTTTCGTGCTTGGAGTAACGTTATAATACTGTAGTGATACTGGTCCTGGAATAGCCGGACAGTCGTATTGTTTTGGTCGAATCTTAAACAGAGTCGAACACTGGGTGGGTTTTGTGATTCCATCGATTCTGGGTCTCGTTAGACCAGCTTTATCTTTTGCGCTTGGACGGTGATTGGAACCAAGGGTGTGAGATGATGCACGTTGTACACTTATGGACACTTATAGTAGAGGGGACCCGAGAGCTCGTTGGAGCAAGTAGTTGCCCACGCGACCAGTTATCGAACAGACACCGGGGTCACTTATAAACGATTCGCTGTATCCCAAATGCAAACTGATGCGGAAAACGAAGCGGCATTATACTTTAGTAGGGAGTTTCGCAAACAAAGCAAAACGTTTGGGGTTCTATCGGTACGGTCTCGTTTAAATCGATTCCGGGAACACGAGTTCTCCTCTAGTCGTACGACTTAATTTATGATCGTTGATTTTAAATTCAACGCGGTGCCGACGCACCGCGCGAACAATTCGCTCCGGCGATGAATATTAATCGACGTTTAATCGATATTCAAGTGCGCGGCCACGTATTCTGAGAACGGGGCTTATTTTATTCGCCGCCTTGAATGCGCGGGCTGCATCAACCGGAGACAGACCGCGACACTTCTACTCTTTTCCTTCCTATCCTCCTCTCACGTTGTCGCGTTCCTCTCTTTTCCCCAGCGTGTCGTGCCGTTCCCGCGGAAAACAGAGAACGTACGCGCGTTGTCCTGCAAATAGCGCGCGGAATAAAAACAAGCCGAAAGGAGATGGATAGCCGGGGAATAATCCTCTTTCGGGTAATCGGTAATAGCTTCTGTCCTGTCGTAAAAATGTCCCCTTTCCGATAGACAGACACGGAGTTCGATCAACGTTATTCATCGCGTCATTAGCGTCACGTTTTCCGATTAATAATGGCCACTTGTTATCGTCGGTCCTAAGTGGAACACTATTCACCGCAACACTCGCGTTTAGCACTTAACAATCGTGTTTATTAATCCTTGCGTCGACGATCCTCTTTGTTCGCGATCACTTTGGGCACCGTTTGAACGTTGCAAAACTTAAGTTAAGGGAATTATACTGCCATATTTGGGGCTTTGAATCGATTTCGTGACCACCTTAGACTAATTGCGTCTGATGCAGGATCAAGCTTACTGATTAGTCTGGGATCCAGGTGGAAACACAAACGGAATGCTTCAGGAACCATAATTCTCTCAGATTGCATTATTGTCTCAACTGTCTTCGACGCAATTTACGTTTCGAATAAGTTCCTTTAGAAGTGCTTAATTTGCAACGGAATGGGAGGGCTGACCCCACCTTTGGATGCATTAACAGGTTCGACCAGCAAACGACGACGCATCCCTCGGAGTTAACCCCGTTACCTGGTCGTCCAAACCGTGGAAGTTCACCGGGAGTTTTTCTTTTCAGAATTTCCACTCCGAGGGGAAGACGGCTAATGTCGTTTCCCTTCAAAAGACTACACCGTTCAGTGGCCGTGGATAACTGAATGACAAAGTGGCGTCCACCGATGGCACGTATAATATCAGCGGCGTTTCGTACCGAGTAATTAAAATCGGCGTATCATCGAGTCTTTGTTTAAACTTTTCATCGCTGTACGCGGAAATAAACATATTAAAAAGCCGAACGTCCCGATGTGTATATTTCATTTTAATCGCCTTCCGTCGCCCGTTATGTTATTATACCGGACCGCGCGTTTATTATGCGGTCGGTCGACGGGAAAACCTGCTTTGTGGAACTCCGTTTTCGTTGTAATGATACTTGCGTCACTTTCACGGAAAGACACGTACGCTTCAATTATCCGTAATTAGGTTTCCCTCGTATCAGAAATAAATAATTTTTGTATCTTTAATCGTTATTTTGTTTCTAGTTGCGTTTATATTTCGGTGTATTTTGTCTATAAATAAATGGATATACTGTCAGTCTCAAGGTAAATTGTAACGAGAATTATTTATATTCCGATAGAAAATAAACGCACGCCATGTTCTAATAATAAGTCGTTCGATTAGTACTGTATTTCGATAGTAAAGCATTTGGATAACGGAAGTCCCAATAAAGAAGCGTCCCATTGTGTTAATGGAATTAACAGCGCTGGCTTTCGTTGAAAACACTGCAAAAGCGTGGCGATAAATGAATGAAAACTATTGTCGTTAAACAAATAATGGACCATTGTTAAAAATTCACCGTGTACAGTGGTAGCTTTACCGATTCCCATGAATAATCAACGACTGGCTAGGTCAGGTTAGACCATGCCAGTATCTGTTACACGTTCTATTACAGATTATCGACTTCGTGTTCCTACGTGACTTGATTAATCGTCCGGGCTGTATGTTTAATTCCATGGCGCAATCGATAGTAATTTGTATCCGTGACACTGGAACAAGTATCTATGAAATAATACTCCAGAGCACGTGGCAAGAATCTTATAGTAACCGAGACCTTAAACAATTCTGAAATTGTACAATGGTTGCATTTAAATACCATTGTTGTCAAGATCTTAATAACAAAAGTAATTTCTTAAGAACTAACGCATCAGCTAGATTGTTACCAAATATTGTAACAATAATTGAATGACACTCGTATGATAGTGAATACAATCTGATCCCCTTACAATAGTACCTCGATACATGAAAACCTTTTTAGAACCGAGCACTACTGTACATCAGATCGTGAAAGATAGTCTTCTAATTAATATTATTACTGAATTAAAATACAAAAATGTATTTATGGAATCTTTGCTACTAGATTTAAAGTTTTATTGCTTACTACTATCGTTCGGTTTATTACTTATTATTATGAACATTAGAGTGAAGTGTACACGTCACGGTAGAGTGATTGTTTAATTACGTAACAGCAAGAACAACCTCAGGCTAATTTTCCACCTAACCTGAATGTCGGAATAACTTCCTCTAAATCCACCATTTCAGGATGTCGGCTGTTCCTGTCGTTACAGGACCACCATCAAACAGAATGTCATATGTTTGTTATAACTTTCTAATAAATGCATTTACGAGCTTACGTTCATAAATCATCCCCTTCTTATTTGTACTAATAGTATGTACCGACGTAGTTTCCGCCGGAAGATCCCACGACATACCGTATATTCCTAAAGTTTCATAAGTTTACGAGTTTCGGAGTTCGAAATCTTTCCCTGTCAGCTTTAAGCTTAGCATTCATTTGTATTAGGGTCAGGTTCTGTAACAGTAACTAATGCAACGCCTATTCGTCATCGTGCATAGTGCAATAAAGTCGATACTATTATTACTTAAACATCTGTACGACTGGGAGCATGAGTTAGTGTAGCGTTCGAGTAATTTCTGTATCTTAGAGCATGTCTTACGATGGCTGACTGAAATTACTGGCGCAACTCCTCCCAAAACTGATCTTTTAAGTCCTGATCGTCAGAGAACTGGACTAATGTTTTTATGACAATTGACTAGAACGTTTGATCCAACAGGACTCATAATTCCTTTGAGGATTAATTTTTCCAGCTCTCATTGGTATAACTAGGATCAGTCATGGTTCTTTGCAGGATTGATTTTTCTAGTCCTCATTAGTGTAGGACACGCCTGATCCAACACTACTCCTAAATCCCCCGCAATCCTTCCACACATCAATCGATATATGTGGGAACTGGAAAGGTGATACCGAGGTTAAAGGGAATATAGTATTCCGAGAGGTATATGGATTTCACGTAATTTTTGCTCTGTTCAAGGCCTTAAAAGTGGATGAAGTACCAACACAAATATAACAAATGCTTTCAAGACTGACATGTAAAATTCTCATCGCTATAGTGTCCAACTGGATGAGTGTGATTTCCGTAACAATACGAATTTAGTAAGAACGTGGACCGTGTTGAGTAATTTATATTCGGTCACAAGCTGAAGTATCATGTTCGAGAGGAATGTGGACCGTGTAGAATAATATTTGTTCAGTCGCCGGCCTTTGAAAGCCGACTAAAACGTCCGACTCTGTACGAGTCGCAATACCATCCAGTACAGATCCTTCAAGCTCTCTGTATAGCTGGGAGCCAGCAATATGATTCCTGGCGTTAAGGAACAGTATTATAACGAATAAAGGAAACCGTTAAACACCGCTGAGTTTTGATGGCTGATCAAAACCATACAATACTACTTATTAATTTTTAAGATCCTACGTCCACCTCCCCACAATACACCCTGAAGCTGAAGTAATTGGGAAGACAATTCCCGACTTAAAGGGGTTGTAATATCCTAAGCGAAGGTTATGTTTTTTTCTAGGTTCGTTGGGCAAATGTCAGACGCCATCGCGATTGGCGATTCTCTTTAGGACAGTTCGAGGACTGAGCGTTTCAAAGGGTGACTCGCATTCCGCAAAACATGCCCGATCCCCGGACTGATATTCCCCACGTTAATTAGTTCGCGGATCGGCCAGGCGGCGGAGCACGTGCCCCCGGTCGGGCGGTGGAGCGTTTTCGTTCGGTACGAGAGAAAAGCGCGTTCGTACGAAGGAACACACGCACGAGACCAAGGGGGGTGGGGGAGCGGGCTGGCGGCGCGAAGGGCGAGGTAAGGAGAGAAATAACGCCGAGAGCGAGCGGACGTTAATGGGGAACGGAGACGGAGGGCGCCCGCGACAGAGAGGGCACGACGATCCAGAGTGGAGGAGCATGCGCGGGTGGGAGTGGCACCTTATTCGTCGTGCAGCTCCCGCCAAGGCTTTCTGTCAACTACGAACTCTCGATGGAAAAGGTTCCCGGCGGCTGTCAACGACGCTGTCGCGTAGAATCGTCGCGTGTAAACTTTCGAACGGCCCCGCGCTCGGTCCAGGACTACGAGTCTGTGAAAGTGACACGTGGACGTTTAAACGTGGAATAATCTCCGGATGCCTCGGTGCTTCCCCGATACCGTGATCCTTCCAGTGACAAGTGGGTGCACCGTATCGGATCATCGATAGTTGGGATTCCCTCGAGGGGGTGATATATAGTGCCGCGAAACGCCGTGGATCGGTGGATCGAACACGACCGGATGCGGCGGAGTGAGTTCGACGGTGAGGAAGCGCGATCCCTTGGACACCTAACCGCGCGTTCGGGGCGAGTGGTGTGTCCCGATCGACGACTGAGAATCGCGGGTATAGCGTCACGTGCCGTGAGGGGGTAAAGCGGCACGTGGCTGTGTCGCGAATACGTTTCGTCGGTTCGTGGAAGATCCCCCTCCGCCGGAGGAAACCAACACTCGAGGTTCGATAATTAAGGAAAGGAAAGAAGTGGAGACTCGGAAACGCGGCAAATCAACGTCGGAATTATTGGACGACGCTGAAGGAGGATCCCGGGGACAGTCGGGGGATCGAAAGACACGGTCCCCTCCCCGCGGAGGGGATAATTAATTTCCGTGCTAATTAGTCGTCGAAGAGGCGGACGAATGCGCGCGAAGGGTCGGCGGTTTGATCGGCGGATTTGCTGATTAAACACGACGCCGGATGACCCCGGGTGGATCCCGCTGAAAGGGCGGGCTAATGAGGCGAGCGTACCTCGAAAGTTTCTCGCAAGAACACGGGCACCGTAGGAACGCACCGTCCAATCGCCCCGCTTCAAAGGGTTGAAAGGAGAACCTTGGTACACCCGGAGAAATGAGACGCAGACCTCCGTCAGGCCATTCTCGACGAAAGAGTAGTTCGATCTGAGCTTGGAACAACGTTCACTGTGTCCCGCGGATTCTATTATAAATTCTGGTGCGCGAAGTGATAGCGTGGTGTTTGTATGGGGTGGATCGGTTCGCGCGAAGAGGTGGTCCCGTTCTCAGATATGGAGCAAACGATGAGACACTCGATGCCACAGGCGAGGAGCCGTTCCACTTCGATCGGTGAATCGTGCTCCAGGTGTGGAAGGTGCTTGAACAAAATGTGGCTCGCGATATTGCTGCTTGGCACCCTGCTGAGGACAGGTGAGAGGCTACTCGTTGTTTTTCGTTCGTGACAAATTAAACAGGGGGGACCAGTTCATCGCCTGGCCACGGCACACACGCAAACTATCCTCAAACTGCCGGGATTCGTTAACGCTTTAATCTCTAATTTCGCGGCACTCCCGGGGGATTTAATCTTTGCTCTATTTCTCTCTCCCTGTCTGCTGAGAACAGTCGGGATAATTGGAATTTTTTCAACGGCACTTTGTCTATTTACGTATCCGTTAAGGGTCGCGGGGAAATTGAATTGAGCATTTTCAATCTTCGCTCTCCGAACGCCTCGTGCGTTTCCTGACCTCATAATAAAAAATGGGCGTCACTCGCATGCTACAGAATCGAGACTTCCGGCTGGCCAGTATTAACCTAGGTGATTAGGGGTTCTTGAATCGATTTGCAACTTTGTCATCTGCAATTCTATGCGTCTCTACTTCTTCGTTAGGGTACAACAGTGACGAGTGTTTAGAGAACACATCGACACTGCCATCTTATTCAGTGTGATACACACTTGATGTTTTAAACTTAAGGAGGATATCGCTGAACAAACTGTTATTGCACATAAGTGTCTGTACTTCTTCAGCGTCAATGGCTTCTGTTCCTGTGTCCAAGGTGTCAAGTAGCCAATCATTCCTCTAGGGCCTTTGGCTTCAATCAAAGGCAAGGTTTCACAGATCTCTGAGAACTTCTCTGACACGAGTTATTAGGATCTTACTCGAAGGCTGATATATTATATGTTTGAAGGGGCAGGAAGTGAAATAAAAGGGGGGTACAACAAAGCAACAGATCATCCAGGTTCTGGACATCTTGGAAAATTTTTTGTATCTGCAGGCAACAAGTAGTAGTATCCCCCCGAATAAGTGAAGTACGTCTAGGTTATGGATGTCTAATAGAGAGGGCTAATTGGCATGTCAGACGGGCGTGGGTTTCGAAGGGTTTCAGTCCCATCGCTGACGGAATTTTCCGCGTCAGTTTCTCGAGATTTGACACGGTACTCGCGCGAAGATGCCCTTTTCAAAAGCACCGCCTCGGGGATGCCGGGCGTCCAGCAAAAGTCATTAGCAAACACGCTGGAGGGTGAAAGGTCATTGAAGCGGAGCGGCCTTGGGGACACGGTTTTTCCATTTCAACCCTCGTTGATGTACACGGTGTTTCTGAACAATTTGGTTGCAAATTTCCGCGCAACGAGGCGTATACGGTTCTTACGAATGATAGAGCTTGAGCACTCCTAAATGTTCGATCCAACCGACATCAAAGAGTATTAAGAGCAATGAAAATGCCAGGTTCTCCAATTTTCTTATCCTAAGCCTATTAATCGGGGTGTGGAGGGGAGATTCTAATCAGGAATTCCGTCTGTGCACGCAGTGACAAATGAGTACAGTCGGCATAACTCGGTTTCTCCTCAGCGAGTATGTTATAATTTATGTTCAATATAACTGGAATGACAAATTGCTAACTGGAATTCTTGAATAAATAAATAATTAATTATTCGAAGGATATTATTACCAAAACACGGACCTTCTACTTTACTGTTACACGTATATAAATTAATATCTTACTGTAACGTACGATATCGTTTGAAATATGATTTATAATCCCAGTTCTCAGAATGCGCAATACCTCGATACCTTACAAAACTGACGAGGGTATCGAGAACTGTCATACACAGATTTTGACGGAACTTTGTATAAACGTACAGTGAACCGACCAGAGAGGATTGTATCGATGTTTAATCGCTGTCGAGGGAAGATCGCAAAAATATTACGAGAAACAACGTTTGTTTTTATTAGCGGTGATTTTTTCATTAAAATCGAGGAGCAGCAGTCAAGTGGAGTCTCAAATATTAGTAAATTGAACACGATATGTAAAAGTAGGGAAGACAAGATGAAACGGCGGATTCCATCGTATTCTGTTCTGTAACCTGATCCTATGATTGCCACTCGAGTCGCATGAATTCTCAAATTCACATTTACAAATGCTCTTCTCTTCTATCAAGACTTCGTCTCACCATACAGGCAAACTTTTCAATTACAATTGCAATTGTCACTTATATAGAATTTCCTTTTCAAAACGGTTTCTCGAAATAATCAACCGTTTCAAATTTGATTATTTTTTAAAAAAATTTCGATAGTTCGAACGATTTTAGTTTAGAAGCATTCTTTAGCGACCGAAACAAGTGGAGTAATCGACGTTTTTAACGATTTAATGACGCGGCACGTGAATTACGTACCGCGATTCTCATTCTCGTCGGTCGATGAATATGAATGCAAATACAACCGAAACGCGTTGTTCTCGCGGGCGGGGTAGTCGTAGGGTAATCGAAATTGCATGTAATGAATATTTCAGCGAGGCAAATTTTTAATAAAATTCTACCCGATTTCCCCGACCGAGCTGATTTATTCTCCGCGCGGCGAAACGTGGTCTGGATCGACACCGAATAAACCAATTTAAACTTCCGACCGGACAATGTTTATTTCACGAGCGAAAAAATAAGCCCAAGAGACAGAGGGCTTCGAAATTGTTGCCTCGAAGGCGGGCCGTGAAGTTGCGCGGTAAAGGGACTGAGAAAGTGTGCAAATTGTTCGAAACGAACCGAGCTACCCCCCCGATGGCTATTCTCGAGTTCGAAACTGTGCAAACTTTTGTTATAAAAAAAAAATTACTAACCATCGGCACGTTATTTCTACGCATTTCCTTATATTCTGTTAAAAATTGTAAATAAAGTTTCAACGGAACTTCCTAATTTTCGTAACGATTTTCAAGACAGAGGGGTTGGGGGTCATTTTGTGAAAAACAAGTCGGGGACCAGCAAAATTTATGGAACAATTTGTCGGGAATTAAATTTGAAAATTTTACCTGAATTTCCGATACGCAGACGTAACTGAAAAAAGAAACTATCCCCTTGCTGAGAAAGAACAAATTTCCAATCATGGAAATTCGCCAGCACACGTGTTCCAAAGTGTTTCAAACAATTTGGAAATTCCAAATGTTTAGAACACTTTGTTGCACGTGTTCGATCGAGTTTTCTCGTAGTGACTGAAAAAATCGTAATCGCGGTTATGTGGAAACCCCCTTTATATTATAAATTCATTCCTTAAACTTGAGGGTCTGCAGCTTAAAAGAATTTTGACTCGTTTGGTTTCGCTCGGTCTACAAATCTGCAAAGTTCTGTCAAAATTTACGTCGGACACTTCGTGAGCGTTCCTCGTCAGTTTCTGCAACTAACCCTCGCTGCAACCGAGGGAATCTGACCCGAGGGAGAACCAATTAGGTACAGTAGAACCTCGGTTATACGAACTAGTCGAGAGACAGGATGTTCGGGTAATCGATTTTTCCAGATAATCGTATCGTTGTGCTTCCGCGTAGAAGCAGACTATACGTTAGACGATATTTCCTACTTTATCTCCCCCCCCCCTCTATTTTTCAGACTTTTAATTTTTATCTAAAGGATTTCTTTTATTTCAAGAATTACGCCAGCCAACAATAAAATGGGTCCGACATTAGAGGCGGTTGTAAAGCCAAAATGGAGCAACATCGATCCATAGCACATTTTTAGGTTAAATCAACAAACATTTGCACGAATATTCGTCAAAATCGACGTCAAACGAATCGTAGAACTCCTTCTACGAGACTGTTTCCAGTACGGTACAGTTAACGACAGTAAATTAAAAATAAACGTTCGATAAAGACGATCCAACACAAGTGAGTTATGACGTCGAGCGAGAAACAAAGCATTCAGTATAAAATTTACAAAACCAGTTAGGATAAAGCGCCCGGAGGCGCATAAAATTGTATTCGAATGGACGAACGAAATCAATTTACAGAAGAGAATTTAATACCTCACTCGGAGGGCGGTTGAGAGTGAGCAGGAGACCGTTGCAGTTGAGGAAATTTCAAAACCCATTATTGAACTCATTACTGGATTAATTACAAAAGAAAATCGGGCTTTGAAAGTACCACGACGTTTCAGGCGCACACAAACGCAGATTCGATTCGCCATTTGTAGATGCTGCAGCAATAATTACAATGGCGCCGAGCAAAGCTACGTCTCATCGCCTCAAAACTCGCACCCGTTCGTTCGTACAGGGCAACTCAAACCTAGGGGCACATTTGAACTTCACTCGTACATCGAGGGTCACGGGTGTATAATTATTTTGCAACAAAAATATATCGAAAACCAATTTTCAGCGATTTCAATCGTCGTTGAGGTTTGGAAAAGACGACGCGATAAAAAGGTTAAGAGGAATATCCAACGGACCGTCGTCCATGTTTGGTATACCTTGCTCTACATCGTCCCACCCCAAAATGTGCAGCTTTGCAATTGGCGAAAAGTCATGACCACCCCGAAATCTTGTTAGTGAAGGGTGAATCCCTTAGCTGGCGTTTTAGCTTCCGCAAGAGAAGCTGAACGTTGCAAGATCCGCACCGTAAAGATTCAGACAGCTTGATCTTTTCCGATAACCCATTGTTCTAGCTTTCAAGAGAGACCCCCCGGATTACTGAGATTCCCAGATTCGTCGAAGTTTAGACAATTAATTGTCCCGCTCTGTACGTGTTCTTGTACGCTGCTGATCCATTATCCATTCCCAATTGCCATTCAACCGGTAGGTCGATTGATTTATTGGTCTGTGGCAAAACTCCCACAGGGCTTAAAGTAGTTGTAGTTACAGAATCTGAAGTGCCAAACTATCTCCAAGTAGCGGTGAACCCGTAAAGTCACACTATCCAACCTTTCCCCTCACATGTGTTGCCACTATCTCTTAATTAGAACCTTCGCGATACTCCCTCTGGGGTGTACGAGTATACAAATTGTGGTTATCGATAGCTTTGAAACCATTCCACTTCGCCAAATGTCGGCTATAACCCCAACTCCGATGTCGGTGTCGTGAGAATTATCTTGTGATTTTATATTCCATACGTACTCGCGCTATTTGTCATAAAGATCAGGTGTTCAGACTTACGTTTCTTCATTACGATTCATGCCTTCT